GCACGGCTATCCCGTGATGCAGGTGGTGCAGTACCACGTGCCGCACGTGGGGCACGTGCCCATACAACCATTACCCTACACGCTGCAACCCGGTATGCAATCAAACCTTCAACTTTTATCATTTTACGTCTGCTAATATTTGTTTCATTGTTTTTTTTTTATTGCAGCAAGTCCCAACAGTGGACGAATACGCAAGTATGTCTTCTGGTGTTGTGCCTGTGGTGGCTTGGCCACCATCCTCGGCGCGCTTTTCCTTGCTGTGTACTTCCTGCTGCGATCATATACATCTACACTGGGCTATTTCGAAACAATACCGACTTTTGTTCCGGCCACAATGGTAACTTAAACATAATAGATTTAATTATTAAGTAAAACTAATTAAATTATATTGTTTTGTTTTGTTTTATAGTTGATATTGACTGGATTATGCGTGATGAGTTTAGCTAGAAGGAAGAATCGATATAGTTATCTTGTAAGTAACTTAACCTCAAATTATATCCATCACTGATTTTACTGATGTTTTGATTTAGTTGAAGGTTTGTGGAGTTTGCTGCTTGGTCTGTGCGTTGACATGTGTACTGGTGACAATTACAACAACAGTCATCCATATGAATCGCCTGCAAACCCTGCGTGAATGCGTTTACACTCAAAAAACACGCACCTGTACCTGTTATTCGGTGTTATTGGAAGCCCACCCGCAAACTGATGAAGGCATGCGTTTTGTATTCGATTCCACGCCGGATTGTGAAGTCATCCATGGCGCCCTCTACACATGCCTGCGCGCCATGTTTGGTCTTTCTGTCAGCGGTATTCTCGTCTGCATATTCTCCTGCATGTTAGTCTATCAACTATTGAGGTTAGTTATCTCACATCAACATAAAAATTGTGAATTAAGGTTATGTTTATGTTTAGCCATGAACGTAAGAAGATGTACTGGGAGCAATTGGAGTTACGTTGCCGGTCATTCTATCAACAACATGGAGCGCCACCTACAAGCGCTCCAAGCTCAATGCGGGGACCACCCATGCCCGCACCTACATACTGCAGCTGTTGTGATGAATGCAGATATCCACAGATAGTACCCGCCCCACCACAGATGTACCCCTGGGATAACGGCGAACGTTTCTGGACGCCAGGTCGTGTAGGCAACTTCTACTCACCGAATCCTGGTGAGGATCTACCCAATGAAAACCGCATCGCTAGTGGATGGAACTGGCGCAGGTTACCATGGACTCGCAACCCCACCCAGGACTCGCCAAGAGACAATTCATTAACTTACCAAGGCATCGCATCAAGCGCTGATAGTCAATATGGGTTCACCAATCGAGATGATGGTAATCCAGTGTCATCTACCGGCAGTTACAGTGTTTTGGACAGGAATCCACCGGGGGTTTATGTTTGGGGACCGCCCCCACCATATTCCAACCCTAATTCTCCCGCACGGAGGGGTTTACATGCGTCCCCGGCGAGGTACCATCATGTACACCAGCATGCGCATGCGCATCACCATCACGCGCATGAGAATCACTGTCAAATGAATGAAGAGTCCCT